TTGAGACAGGTTCCTTATATACCCTTCCCTCCCCCCTCCCTTAGACTAACCCAATTTTTATCCATATCTCCCTTATTAAGGCCTGTTACCTACTATTCTTCTCCTTCAGGTTATTTCTTTTCCTTTACCTCACTGTTTCCCTAGCCTTTTCCTGGTTCCTGGAGTTATGTCTGTTTGCATGCTTATTTTTAACTTACAATAATGGTGGCATTATGCACAAGACCCATGCCTACTCAGTCAGACAAGTACCCTGTCTCAAGTGAGGGAAACTGGTGGAATGTTAACCTTAGCCTGAGAACTGTTGGCAACTGATTACTGCTGGATGAGGCAGAATACATCTTCCTTAAAATCTCTTTTTAGATTGACTAGACAATGAACTTGCACAGAAGGACACCTGGATAATTTGGCTTACATGTGTCACAAACTCCCTTACCTCTATGACTGTGTGAAATACAATGATTTATTGATGGCTATTGTCATAACCATAGAAAATATACTTAAATAGTTTGTTGTTTAGTACTTCAGAGCACGTGAAGTGTTGTCAAACTTTCTAGGCATCTCTTACCTTATCTCTAGGAATCACCTCAAAGTCTCCAGGGTCTGGCTGGACTGAGGCCTCTGCACTTCCTTAGTACCATTTATTTCACTCCTGCTTATAGCATTTTTATGATCCTGTGTCCTGTATCAGATTACTAATATTGACAGTATTTCAGGACAGTATTTCAGGACAGTATTTCAGGACAGTATTTCAGTATTTTCCTGGTAATGATCATAGACAAAAATCTGATGATCAGAGTATGCAAGATATTGTGATCAATATTATTTTTCTTGGTCATGTCAAATTGACTATTTGGATTTTTATACCAAAACTGTAGAAGTGCACATCTTCTGATGTTGTCTTCCCTTGAAATTCTTAGGGCATGGTCACTATATCTGAAATTTCGGAAGTGTGAAGACTTTTGAAACTGTCAGCATCCTTGCCCTTCACACACTGCTACTATCAGACAGGACAAATTCCTAAGTGAGGAACATAAAATTATGTAAACTAATGAACTAGTAGATGATAAGTAAGTATGAAATTCAATTCTCTTTAATTTACACATCAGATTATTGAGTGTCTGACTAAGAGACGCTGCTTGGTGTAAAAGAGAAACATTTTCTAAACCTTCTCCACAAATCATGCCATTTTAGTAGAATTACATTATTTCCATATAGATAAGGATCCATTGTTTTCATATCACAGAATTTAAAGTTTTATTTTTCATCCAAAAATACCACCAATCTCTTCCAAACTTTCCTCATGGCATTTTTCATATCTTTATTCCTAAAAGTATAAATCATAGGATTAAACAAGGGAGATAGCATGGTGTAAAATAGTGCTACCATTTTGTCAAAGGAAAATGAAGTGGGAGGTCGTGCATATGTAAATATACAGGGAACAAAGAACAAAATTACAACAGCTATGTGGGATCCACAGGTGGACAGAGCTTTCAATCGCCCTTCAGCACTATGAGCTCTCAAAGAGAACAAGATGAAACTGTAGGAGACAAGCAATAAAGAGAAGATAATAATGCAAATAAACCCACTGTTGGCCACCACCAAAAGGCCAAAAATGTGTGTGTCCGTGCAGGCAAGCTGCAGTAATGGGTACAAGTCACATATGAAGTGATCAATGACATTGGGTCCACAGAAGGGCAGCTGCAAAGTGAAGATAATCTGTATGATGGAGTGCAAGAAGCCCCCTGTCCAGGCTACTCCCACCAGAGTGCCACAGAGCCTCCTGTTCATGATGGAAGAGTAATGCAAGGGCTTGCAAATGGCCACATAGCGGTCATAGGCCATGGCTGTGAGGACAATCACCTCAGCCCCACCAAAGAAGTGTTCAGCAAAAAGTTGTATCATACAGCCCTCAAAGGAGATGGTTTTCCTCTCATAGAGTGAGTCCACAATCATTTTTGGTGTCATGGCAGAGGAGAAACTTGCATCCAATAAGGACAAAAATGCCAGGAAGAAGTACATAGGGGAGCCCAGCAGTGCAGGGCTGCAGATAATGGTCACCACAATCAGCATGTTGCCCCCAATAGTTGCAATATAGACCAGCAAACATATGACAAATATTATTTTCTGAATATTTTCATTCTGTGAAAGTCCCAGGAAGACAAACTCAGTGACAAAGGTCTGATTTTGCATGACTTCCAAAGAAAAGATGAATGCCCAGTAGTGAACCTGTAATTTTGCAATAATGATAAACACCCAGTTTACAATTGCATAGTTACCAGTACTTTGACCTACCAAGATCCAATGGTTTGATTTGAGAACAAAAAGAAGAATTTTTAAGATAATAGTAAAGTGATAGATTGATCAGTATGAGACAAAGAGAAATTACTGAATACTTAAAAATAGTTGAGTATCTAGCCAGGCATGGTGGTACACACCTTTAATCCCAGCACCCAGGAGGCAGAGGCAGGTGGATCTCTGTGAGTTCAAGTCCAGCCTTGACTACACAGTGAGTTCCAGCACAGCCAGGGCTACAAGGAGACTCTGTCTCAAAAAGACAAAAAAAAAACAAAGAAATAACAACAACAACAACAACAAAAATAGTTGAGTATCTATCCAAATACCTGTGCAGACAGCCACGTGTGACAGAGAATGCTGACAATTTGTATTTTTATATTTGTAACACCAGACTCAAGAATTTCCTGGAGATGTCCTGAAGTGAATTGTTAAGAAGTCTCCTAAAACTTCATGCATGCTATCAAGAAGTGAGGACCATCATTATCCATATCAGCCACTGTCAGGGAGCTCAGGTAGGAGTAACCACCAAACCGCTACAATTTGGAAATGATCATGTCTATAAATAAAAGAAAATTGTGCATTTGAAGAAGCAAAAGGGCATCGGGGTTACTTCTTCAAAGATTCTTCTAAAAACTAAATTGAATATGCCTTAAACAAATTAATTTATTCTTTATAAAGAGAAATATCTATAGAAATGCCCAGATATGGAATATCGAGTCTTTTTATTAAAAATCATCATTTGAAATTGGAACAGAAGTTCATGCAAACAATAACACCACTTCTGCATTTTGTCATAATGATAAATTGAAATAACACAGGAATAGCAGTTTATATAACTATAGATCTTATTTTTGATATTTTATTTGTAGGACACTCATTGAAGTCAAGAACATAAACCTGCATGTTGCACGGAATGTCTCCCCCATGCTGAAGTCCCTTCCATTTAGTCAACCTGAAGAAGCAGAGAAAATTTGCCTTTTGATTAAGAACTTCAGAGCAGAGAGGCTTTCCATCTGTAAGTGTTAAGCCTTCTCATTTATTTGCTAAGGTATAAATGGGACATTTTTGTTTGCTTTTGTTTTTGTTTTTGTTTTGTTTTTGAGAAAGGATGTCACCACATAGTCCTGACTAGTATGGAACTCACCATATACCATGTTGGTCTGTAACTCTCAGAGATCCACCTGCCTCTGCCTCCCAAGTGCTAGGATTAAAGATATAAGCCAGCCACCACAAGCAGCTTTGACTAGACATGTTAATAAAAGAAACACTGTAAATGTTTAAGAATTAGAAGGCTGTCTACCCTCATGTTCCTGAGCCTGATATCGATGTCAACTATGGGCTCCATTCTAGGAAGCAGACCTTAAATCCAATGAAAGTGTAGTTAGTTACTCCCAGAATAGTTGTGCCACTATTGCACCAGTCCACATATCTTATTAATTGTTGCTATTGTTCACAGGATCCACAGCTAGGCAAAGCTGACAATTTTCTTTTCCTTCTGGTAGCATGCATCAGAGCTTCCAGCACTATGAATGCTAGCCAGTAGGTATGAGGCTCTGAAGTCAGCACTAGCCTGATTTTTCCTTGTTTGTTCTACAGCTCATGTAGGTAGTGTCTTCAGAAATTGGGTCTTGCCATCAAGATCTGGTGAGTAACCAAGACCAGGGGCAATGGCCAGTATTGTTTGTGAGTCTATGAATCCCTGGTCAATAGCCTCTAGGGAGGGAGTCCATTCCTGGCATTAAGGATTTTTTAAATCATTAGCCTATGATGTCTAGAAAGGGCAATGTCCCCCTGTTATAAGATAACTCTTTTTAATATTTTTTATGATGTAAATGTATATATCTTAAGAAACTTCTATAGTCGTAGGTCTCCATGTATCTTTTTCTAAAGACCTTTAATGTTACTTATCTCTACCTATAGGGGAGAACCTAATACTAGTTTTCTACTAAATAGTTATCATATTAAACTGACTCCTAATGACTTATTGTTATACACATAGATTAATGAATCAGTAGAGAAGTTTACCTATGCAAAAGATGGGGTTTAATAGAGGAACCCACAACTGATCAATGTGCTTATCCCTGAGCAGGACACCCATATCAAACTTTTGCTTCCCAATGGTCAGGTATAATTGCTGAAGAGGAGACAGTAAGGTTGTTAGAGACAGAAGCAGTGATGACAACAGAGAAACAGAGTTTTCCAAAGAGCTGGTCAGTTACTCATATGAACTTGCAGCAATGGTGAGAGAGTACTCAACTCGCTTGCAAGCTCAAAACAGAAAAAAAAAAAATCCCAGCATAGACTTCAGGAAGTGGATAAGAAGCTTCAACCCCACCTAAGGAAATTGTGGTAACAGATGGATGTGGGAAGAGACAAAGACAGTCTCTTTAATCATGGGACTCTTGGTAGGTTAATCAGGCTCCAGTGAATGGACCCAAAATCAAGGACATTTGGAGAAACAAATTAAGACGTTATAGACCTTGTTATATATAGAGTACATTAAATTATATGGTATCCTACATATGCAAATTGACAACAGTTATATAACTGGAACAGAAAGGGTGTACTGAGTATTAGTCAAGTCTTGTTAATAATTTTACAAAGATTTGTATAATGTTACATGGTCTGATGAAGTATAATTCCTCAAGATACAAATATTTGAAAGATGTATGAGTTTCTTCAGAAGCAGAAATGTCCAGATCTGACATGTCCACTCATCTTTTAGAATTTTGATTTGTTTCAAACTTGAAAGTGTAAAAATTTTGCTTATGATGATTCTGCTATTGCTAAACTTAGTTATAAGGTACTCTAGTAAAATGGTTTGCACATAGGAGGCTTTACAATTCATTTTCCAACAGTGCACACAGCTGCAAAGGATGGCTGAATCTACCTCATGTGTGCATATTACTGACATGTATCAATAAAGTATTATATGTATGTGTATATATGTGTAGATGTAGACATATGTTTGCTAAAAATGGGTGAATAAAAGACTGGTATATTTTATGAGAGGCAAAAATTATCTCATTTCATGAACTCTATTTAAAATTAACAGATTAAGAGAAACTATTTTAAATATTAATAAAACTAACAAAAATACAAATTGTGCACTAGTTTTAAAACAGCCATTTCTGGGGCTGGAGAGATGGTTCAGTGGTTAAGATCACTGACTGCTCTTGCAGAAGACCCTGGTTCAAATCCCAGCACCCACATGGCAGCTAACAACTGTCCATAACTCCAGTTCCAGGGGATCCAACACCCTCTTCTGTCCTCCACAGGCATTGCATGACACAGGTATAGTTGCTTACATGTAAGATACTGATACATATAAAATAAAAATAATAAAATATTTAATTTTTTTTTAAAAAAACAACAATTTCTATTGTGTACTCAGGATCATCCCTCCTGGTGTCTTCACTGTGAACTCCACACCCACTTACAAACTATTGACAAGGAAATAAGAGGAGAAAATGAACTTTTAATGGCCATGTCATCAGCCAGTAATCATTTATCACTTAAGAAAGCATATCAGTAGGTGACTTGGGTCTGGCCAGAAGAAGAAAGGGAAAGTGAAGGAGTGAGAACTTCAGCTCCCAGCTCTTGCAGACCTTTCCAATCTGGGCTCTGCTACTTTGTGACTTGCATATATTACTTGCATTTCATAAAATTCTCAAATCTCAGCTAGTATATCTATTGAATGGATAAGAATGCTTCTGAATTATTTTTAAGATGATCAGATAAGGTCTTACTGTAGAAGCAGGAATGCATTCAGAAGCTCAGGAGATGGTGATGTGTGGTGAGAAGGCCCCTCACAGCAAGGAAGGATGATCCTGGATTTCTATTTTCTGCTGCACCATAATCAAGAACGATGAATGTGGCACTCATTTCTTTACCTGTTAAAAGATTTTATTTCATCAGTCACAGTGAAGAAATATAGTTACATTAATGCATAGCACTTTCAAATGTCCTAAATAAATCTTGAATATTATTAACTCAGACATCCTGTTCCACATAGCTACAGCATATGAAGACAATCAAGCTAACTGGTGAAATGAAAGGAAGACAAGGTTTCATATTAACCTAGTAAGTCATATTACATACTTCCTTAATCAAAAGTATTCTAATAGCATCCTTTTAGAATTATAATATTCATTAAATATAAATACATCAACTTTTCTCAGCTAAAGATATTTTCAAATTAATATCAAAGCATTAATAATAAGAAATATGGTGATATTGAAGTTTATAATTGTGCAGTTTAAGATTTCACATAATTTAGAAAATAATTGGGAGAAACTAGTACTGTTATTATGTAGGTGAACATAGTAATAAACTGCTCCCTAAGTTCTTATCTTTAGCCCATAGATTAGTGTAACTCACAATCCTTATAGAGAAGCTTCTTTTTGGAGTAGATGGTGATTAATAGAGACCCACCACTGGCTAAGAAACAGAGAATGAGATCACAGAGTGCTCAGCTCCAAATTGAATATTTATATCACACATTTTTCCCACAACACCCAGGAATCATTACAGAAAAGGGTCCAAAAGATTGTAAGAGTCAGATGGAGTGGATGTCTGTAGAAAATAGTATTTTCTGGACATAAGAGCGAAGTTGCACACATGAACTCACAATGACTGGAACTGCAGGCACAAAATTTACACAAGATCAAGCCAGACACAATCCCAGCATGGATAAGGAAGGTCATGAAGTCTGCCTGTATCTGAGCAGATATTAGCAACTGGCTAGTGGGAAAGAAAGAGTCAGTTTCCTTTAGGGATGTGGCCTTTGTGAGGCTACCCATTCTCCAATAGATGGTTACATGGTCTCACACTCATACACATACAGTGAACATTAAATGAACAAACTGGGTGTTGAGGGGGGATGAGACAGACAGACAGACAGGGGAGAGAGAGAGACAGAGAGACAGAGAGAGAGAAAAAAAGTGTATATGGGGAGGAACAAGGGAGGTATTATAGGGGAGGAATGGGTGCGTATTGCATCTAAATACATTATACACATGTTGAATATTAAATAATGTATCTAGTTTAAAAAAGAAACAATTGCCATAATAAAATTTATTAACAGATTAAATTCTGTAAGAGAAAAGGCACAATAGTAGACAAAATAATAAATATAAGCGATTTAGAATTTAATGAAGAGTCATACATCAATCTTTATTCCTTTTTTTCTGAAATGATACCTAAGGTAATCTAAGATGATAACATATTAGTGCATATTAGTGTGACACATTATTTTCTATACAAACTTAGCAGATTTGTTATTACTCTAGAATACAAACACAAGTTACTCTTTTTCTTTCTTTTTTTTTTTTTTTTTTTTTTTTTTTTTTTTTTTTTGGTCTTTTTGAGGCACAGTTTCTCCCTATGGTCTCCACTGGCCTGGAACTTGCTGTTTAGATCAGGCCAGCCTCAGTCTCATAGATCTCACAGAGATTTGCCTGCTTCTGCCTCCCAGTTGCTTGGATTAAAGTCATGTGCCACCATGTCCAGTTACAAGTTTATTTTTTAAATGTTCAGTTTCTGCTAACAAAATCTGACCAAATCAGCTTCATTATCTAGTAATCATATGTCATTGAACAAACTATATTCTCCACTCTAAAATAGAGACATCAACACTGGCCAAGCTCAGAGGTCTACAAGTGTCCAACACATAGATATTATTAACACGTTTTTCAAAAAAGGCATTAAAATGATAATAGAAAATATTGTTTCCAGGATTATTTTTTAATAGTATCTACATACAATGTGGAGACTGAGTTTAGCATAAAAGTAAAGTGTCCTTTAATAAAATGTAATTTTTAATTACAGCAACTAAAATTTCAGTGACATTGTTTCATTCATTCAATTGTTTTTTAAAACCTAGTAAATAATTGTAGAGCTATTTGTGTTTGGATCTTTAGAGTGATAATCTCAACCTTAAAACTTAATTCTAAAAGTGAAATGAGACAAGAAGCAATGTAGTGGAACATAATACACCACATGTACTAGTGAAAAGGGAGAGATATGTAGGTAGAGAAGGATACTTATTTAAATCAGACTCAATTTAATATTGCAGGTTATCAATAGAGTATTAGTAAGATGAGGATTTATGAGGTAAGTAATTTTGGAATACATTGAGAAAAAAGAGGAAATATCATAACTTCTCATTTCTTTGACATTTTAAACAAAATTTTACAGTCTGGAAGAGAAGGTATAAAATACTGAAGACAAAATTTATAATATCTTGTGCACGATTTATAAGAAATAGAGATCAGCAGATAAGTAAAGCAAGAGTCAGAAAGACCCATATCATGTGTTTTACCTCACTTGTGGATGTAATTAGGATAAAAGCAAAAGGGAAACTGGAAGGAGACAAGCAGGAGGTCAGGGACAGATAAGGGAAGGGGACAATGTAAATGGTATGCTGAGGCTGCTTACTGTCTCATTCCATTGTATACTAGAAAGAAATGGTCTTTACGAAACAGAGCTTTGAACAATGGACATATGACAAAAAAAGGAATATTTAAATTTAAACAAAGGTTTAGACATGCAATACCTGATTTTCATCTAAAGTCAAGAAAAGGAATGTGAAGTTAAAGCAAACATCTTTTGCAAAAGTAGAAATGACTTGCTAACACAGTGGATTTTATATTACAATTTTAAATCACTGTTAACTTTCCATAAATAGGCACAACATGGGGCAGACACCATTGTCAATGTGTTTACTTTGTAATTTTATTGATATTGATTGATCGATTGATTGATTGATATTTTATGTGTATGAGTGTATTGCCTACATGCATGTAAGTGCACCTGTGTCTTGCAATGCCTGTGAAGATCAGAAAAAAGCGTCAGATCCCCTGGATGCCCTGAAACAGGAGTGAAGTTTGTTAGCCACCCATGTCAGTACTGGGTATGGAACCCAGGTCTTCTGCAGAGTAGTCAGCACTCTTAACTCCTGGACCATCTCTCCAGCTCCTGATTTTGATTTTAAAAACACATTCTCATGGGGGTAGCAGCATCTTGCATCCATAGTTTCCTTGAAACATTCCATCCCCTTTCTTGTTGGATTGCCATATACTTGAATATGCAGTGGAGGGTGCTCAAGCCCCATTTCTTCATGAATTGTGAGCTCTGGGCCACATCTGGGGACAGTGACATTGAAAATTTTGCTTCCCTGTGCCCCACTGTCCACACTGGTCACTATTTCTGAACCACTACTTTTATCAACAAAATTAATTATGTGAACATTTTTTTCTGAAAATAATGGAACTTGTTTCATATTTGTCTCATGTTTGTCTACTTTATAGCATATATACATACAGATAAATTAGATGACAGGGATATTGTTGATAGATGGATGATAGATAGATGATAGATGATATATAGACAGGTAGATAGATAGACAAATGATAGATGGTAGATAGATAGATGATATATAGACAGGTAGATAGACAAATGATAGATGGTAGATAGATAGATGATAGATAGATGATAGATAGAGAGATAGAGAGATGATAGATGTTAGATAGATTAGATAGATAGATGATAGATAGATGATAGATGATAGATAGATGATAGATAGATAGATAGATAGATAGATGATAGAAGGATAAATAGGTAGATAGATAGATGATAGATGATAGATGATAGAGTAGGTAGATTAGATAGATAGATAGATAGATAGATAGATAGATAGATAGATAGATAGATAGATAGATAGATAGATTAGATAGATAGATAGATGATAGATAGATGATAGATGATAGATGATAGATAGTCTAAAATAAGGATTAGTGGTGGGGTTGTCATCATGAATAGTATTTTGTAATAAAGCCAAGCAGTACAATTTGTATGTAATTACATGTATGCTTGGAAAATCAATCACATTTGCATACATTTTATTAAATATTTTTATGAGTAGCTAAGAGAAAAAAAATTCATGGATAATTCTATCTATATAGATAATTCTTTATGTAATTACCCTGATGCTAAGTTCCTTAAATATTTTGTTCCTCATACTTCTGAGCAAAAATGTTTCTTTTTATGACTATCAGGGAAATATACCTTTTTCAGATTTCAGTACCTTCCCTCACCTTTCAGTCAGTGATGCTTTGCTGATTGCCCTAATTGGCACAAGATTCATAATCTCACTGTTTCTGAAACAGGAAAGAGGTTTGATGCTTCCACTGGTGCCTATTCTAAAGGATGCCTGAAGTCCCTCCTGTTGTCTTACTGGTCCAGCTCATGTTAAGGGAGACACTAAGCCATAACAATGAGCAACAGCACTGTTCAGAGCTAGCAGCTTTTTACTTTTCGTAAGTATTCTAAAACAGGAACAACTAGCAAATGTCACTGTCAAATCAGAAGACTCCTCTCTGTGACTTGTGCCACTCTTTCTTACCTTTAATGCCCATTCTTGAGACTCTTTGTTGTTTGGTTGTGGAGATGGCAAATTCTATGTTGTGTATTAGTAAGCCTACAGAGGACCACTTCCTCATAATGAGGAAGTGTTAGAGGATGAAAATAAATGAAAATAGCTAAAAGTAAATAATAACATGTTGGAGAGCTAGGGTAAAATACGTACTTGTGTCAGGCGTGGTGGTGCACATCTTTAATCCCAGCACTCGGAGGCAGAGGCAGGCGGATCTCTGTGAGTTCAAGGCCAGCCTGGTCTACATAGTGAGTTCCAGGACAGCTGGGGCTACAGGGAGACCCTGTCTCAAAAATAAAAAAAAAGTACTTGCTTTCTTAACTAATTTGTATTTAATCCAAAGATGAAATTGTAAATCTAACTTAATTTCATTAATCCTAAAATAATGACTGCCCTGCATCCCACCTAAAAATTTGAGGATTTTTAAATGGCTGCTGGTGTTTTCCTGGACATTTATTTGGTGTTTACTTGTCCCACAAGCTTCATAATGTCTCACCTGCTCCATCATTGATCTTAGTAATAGAACCCTCATTAGAGATGAACAGTCTTCTATCCAGAAAGATTACATACTTTCCTTAAATATACACAGCTGTTGATAGGCTCATGTATAATATTTATCAGCGTAGCATGACAGAAGCTGTAGTTTTAAGCACTGCAGTACATTTTAAATCCTCTCTGAAAATGAAAAAAGAAAGAAGAAAGTATAAATCTTTTTAGAAATAGTAAGTTCCTTAACAGTTCTAGTGATGACACCCTGCTATGTCTGGCCAAATTCTACAGGTTGTTTCTAATTTTTTTCTTTTCTTATAAAACAGAGAAACATCTTTGGCAAACCTGATAATAGCCTCACCTCCTTATGTGCTGTTTCCACTATGTCTTAAGGATAAACTGAAGAAGTAAAAGTTTCCTTCTTGATTTACAGGAAGAATTTAAAGAAGTTTCTGTGAGAGTTCATGAACCTGTAGACCCACCCACCCCAGGGCTTGGAAACTTTCCACCAGTTATCTTCAAAGACATAATTTTGGATGGCATTTACTTATTCATTTTTTGTGAAACTCCTATGTCCCCAAAGAATCAAAGTTGTGTGTATGTGTGTGTGTGTATGCATGCACATATGTGTTTTGAACTTCTGCATTTAAATTTGAACATGATTTCATTTGCCAGAAATTAAGCTATAGGACACTGTATGTTGCAGAAAAATAGTGTCTCTGTTGACTTGGGGTGCAATGCTTGTGCTTGCCAAATGGAATAGCTGAGTTCTGAAACAAGGGTGCACTCATCCAGAAAAGAAGTATATGATATTCTGAACATAATAATGCTTATTAAAGAATGAAACATGTTTACAATAAGATTTTTCTATTTTTTTAATAATTAACTGATCAAAACCTTATTTTTTTCCTCAGAAGCTGATTTTGAGATTATTTTGACTTTAAAACCAAATGTGCAAGCTCTACACCTTAATCTGTCTTCTTCTTTCATTTAATTTGAAAAGGGAATGATCTGTATCATGTTAGGCAAACATAGCCATGAGCCTGAAGCATGAGAACAAGTGGAATTAGCTCACCAAACCCCTTCAAGAAAGATAATATAAGGAAATATACAAATGCTTTGTACATTTTTAAGCATTGTATCCTCCTTAGTTTTCACACCCCACAGAGAAAAGTAGAATTGAAACAACAGATGGGAAATGTTAAAGCCCAGAAACAACATCTCTTCAATAAGCTCTATAACTAAATGGAATTATTATTTTGTGTTAATTAAATTTTATATTTGCTTAACATATAAGAATCACCTGGCATGGGCCACATTTCTGGTCTGGGTGATGGTTTAGCAAAGAGTCTGCAGAGTGTGGGTCCTTGGACAGGACTCATATTAAACCACCCACCCAGGGTTCAGGGACCACTACAAAAGAGAAGAAAGACTGAAGGGAAGGGGAGGAGGCAGGGGAGAAGACAGAAAGGCAGGGGAGGAGGTGCATGACCATATAGAAATAGAGTCTTACAGACTCCTGGGACCTTGTTCATATGAACTTACAGCAATGGTGACAGCATGGACAAGATCCATGCAAACTCAAGCAGACAAAAAGAAATCATAGACCTGTGAGAATAAGTAGCAGGCCCCAATTTTAACCTTAGCTGAAGCACTATTGGGCAGCTGATTACTCTGGATGAGGAAGAACTGATCTTCTTTAAGTGAGGGAACTTAAAGAGGCTGAGTAGACCGCAGTGGATGAACTTGCACTGAGGGATATCTGGGGACACTAACTTGACTCGATAGGCATTAACACAAATGACAGAATGTATGAAATGCAGTGGAGGGGTCTATGGGAGGGTGCCAATGGGAAAGGGGATATAAAGATGATTAAGATGTTGTGCATGACAAAAGTCAATTCCAAATGGCTCAAAGACCTCAATGTAAAGCCTG